TTATGGTCTCTTTGTGATAGAGCCTTAGAAGTGGTATTGCTGGATCAAAGAGTATGCACATTTTATAGCCCTTTGGGCATAGTTCCCCAAAATGGCTGGATCAATTCACAACTTCATCAACAATGCATTAGTGTTCCAATTTTCCCACATCTTCTTTAATATTTATCATTTTCCTGTTTTGCCATGTTAGCTCATTGGTAAAATTGTACAGAGAAATATGGTAGATAATTATGAATAGTTTTGCCTCATAAAACATGAAAAGAAAGGGAAGGTTTAAAGAAACTTGGTGAAAGACCCAACTAAGAAAAGTAATCCCAAAAGCTGACAGATGAAACTGAATAAAGGATAACAAGAAATAGAAAATGGAAAAGATCTGTAAGAATTATTTTCCATAATGAATTTTTTTATATAACTAAGGACATTGTAACTACCACATTTACAGTCTAATATCACAGTCTATCTGCTTCTAGAAGTAGTAGAAAATGGTAGTAAAGAAAACACAAATAGGAAAAATCATTAGAGTATGTGAAATTCCATGCTCATGTTTACACATTTAAAGATCATCAAGGGATCAATTCTCAAGATACTTAAAAGTGAGAAATAATGAAAATATAAAAACAACAATTAGCTTTTATTATTATCAAAAATGGGGGACCAAGAAACTGACATAGGCTTAATTTCTCACATGTACAAAAGTTTTATTAGAGTAACATATATAACATATACAGTTATCACAGTCATTCTTGTTGATGGTATTGAGAACATGTGGACTTCACAAATGATATTCCATAACAGACCACAGTTTTACAGTCACACAATAGACTGAAAGATGTAAAGGATACAAAATTTCATTATGTTTATATGTTTGTGTACTACAAAAAAAAAAACAACCCCAAAACATCTGATACAATGGAATGAAAATCTGCTTTACAAGTTCTTCTTTAACAGGGAGTCTTCCATGCATATGTCAAAATCAAACAAAATTAACTAAAATATGTTAACAACAGACATAATTTGGGCTTTTGGATTATTATCAAAGAAAGGAGGCAAAGTGTGGAGACTAAATGAAAGAGTAGCATAACCCCAGATGTTTTTTATGTTGATTTCCTCATGCCCTGGAATGCTGCTGTCTGGTAAAGGAGATCCACAGTCACTTAAAACGAGTTTTCCTTAACTAGACACAGGATAGAATTGTGAAAAATAAAGTACTTGATGGGGAATTAGCAAGGCCTGGGTTCAAATTACACTTCAGAAATTTATTAGCTATGTGAACTTCAGACAAATCATTACTAAAAAATAATGATGATGATGATAAACATTCATATAGTGCTTTAATGATATCTCATTTGATCCTCTAAACAACTCTAGGAGTCAATTATTATTCCCATTTTACAGATGATGAGGTTGAGATAGAAGTCAAATGACTTCTCCAAGGTTACATAACTAGTGTGTATCAGAGGCTGGATTTCAACGCAAATCTTCTTGACTCTAGATCCAGTCCTCTATCCACTCCTACACTTATTTTATAAAATCTATAAATAAATAGGAGGTTGGCCTTGATGGCTTTTAAGATCTCCTCTGGTTCTGATTCTATGATCCTATGCTACACAGAGGGGGGAAATGGATATAGAATTCCTATTGTCCAGAGTAGACTATGAATTTGAATGGAACAAGTCTATCAAAACAAGTCTCTTGCACAGATGTCACAAATGGGCAATGAATGGGTCAAGAATTCCACAGGCTGAAAAGATAGGTTGGATTGCCTTTCAGAATTAGTACAGTACTTTATTTTAGCTCCAATATTCTTCTGGTTACAATATATGCTCTCTGAGTCAGGAAATACTGTAATCTGCTACCATAGTTGAAGATTACCCAAAGGGCAATGGAGAGGTGAAGGGTGGGTGTGAACAGATTGCAACACATTAAAAAAAGGAATTGCAGAGCAGAAGTGGCAAAAAAAGACACCATCAGATAAATAAATGTATGACCAAAAAAAAAAAAGAGAGAGAGATAGTTTGGTCACACAGCAAAAATATCCATGCAATGTTGAGAAAAATGTGAAAAAGGCCTCTGGCTCACTGTATGTAGCACAATTATGCAAGATATAGATGAGGGTCTCACAAGATGGGTAGACATGGTATGGTTCCAGTATTCATATAAAGGGAATAGCAACATGGATGAAAAAATGGATCCATTAAAGTAATTTTTAAGTGAGGATTTCAAAGCACTCTGCAAGCATGATAATATCACTATTCACATATGTGGTAATGTATTCAAGTAAAATTACCTCAAATATAAGAAATGAAGTGACAAAAGAAAAACTAACAGTTTCTTTCCTACTAGATTCACTGATGATGACCCTCTTTCTTTATTTTGATTGCATAAAAATAAGAGGAATGTGGTATCCTTAAAACATATTTTCCTAAGTTTACTTTAGGAAAGCTATTGTCTGCCTATCCAACTACTCAGCAGTTAGGGAAAGTGTAAAAAACAAGGATTAAAGGCACAGTCTACTCATTCCCAACCCAACTAATCATGTACTTAAAACTTGGGTGAAAACCGATTTTAGATGACAGAATCATAGAAATCACCATTTTGAGATAGTGAGAAGAAAACTAAATAAAAAATGAAAGGACTCAAGTTTAAGTCCAAGATTGTATTAGTTTGCTGCAATTTGGGGAAGTATCTTCGCCTTTCTGAATTTAAATTTCCTTATTTCTTAAATAAGATAGATTGGACTAGATAACTTTTAAGGAACATTCACATTCCAGGTTCTATTACTTCATTACTCTAACTAGCAGCTTCTTCATATTTCAGACAAGGAAAATGAATCTCAAGGAGATTTAGGTGATGTGGCCAAGTTTCAGCTACCGATTTTTTTTTAAGTAAATTCAGATGTAAGGTTCGGTATATACATTTTCCAACAGGGCAGCAGTGGATAGAGCACTGAGTTTGGAATAGGGAAGGTTCTTCTTCGTGAGTTCAAATCTGGCCTTAGACACTTATAAGCTGACTGACCTTGGGCAAGTCACTTAACCCCTGTTTGCCTCAGTTCCTAAACTGTAAAATAAGCTGGAGAAGGCAATGGCAAACACTCTGGTATCTTTGTCAAGAGAACACCAAAATGAGGTCATGAAAGGACCTAACAACAGATTTTCCAATATTAAATCATATTAGCTATAAATCATGGGATACCTTTTGGAGAACTAAAATAGGAAGACTACGGGTCTTGGTCAATAGGAAGGAGATTGATCAAAAAGTGATGATGATGACGGTGACTTGAGTGACTCTTGGCCATTATCAGCATCAGCAAAAGTGATTTGCTATCTCATTGCACTTATTGATTTTGTTGATGAACTACAAAAATCCAAGCTTTTGTCCTTCAGGAGTTTATGGTATACAGTCATAATAACCTACATATTGTTCCACAAGTAAGCCTGTCCTAGCTTTAAATTGCATTATTTTGTCAGCTTCAATGGTAACAACCATTTCTGTGTCCACACTCCAAAATATGATAGTTTCATCTGTTTTAGACACCACTGACCTGCAGAGTGTTTTTTAGGCAATTCAGGTTGCCAGTTAGTGGAAGAATGACAGTCAAAATTTTGGTAGAGTGAACTTTCATTCTGATCCCTTCTTACAGCTTTTTGGAGCAAATAGGAAGGCTAAAGGAAGAGAGAGGATAGATTTCTCACTCAGGAAGTCTATCTGGCAAGACTGGAAGAAAATGAAAAGTCTGTATGTGAGAACATAAGCAGAAAGCAACTACCTTTTAAAATCATCCATTACTGACTCTTTATACTTTCCTTTGCCTTGGGCTTACCATAGGCTCCTTCTTCCCCTTTGCTCTCAGAGTTCCTTTGGCACCTTGGAAATCTATTTATGCGGATTTCTAAACTAAGGCTACCCACAAAACTTCAAGAAAAGGGAAATTACTAAGTAAAGGACCAAAAATCGCAAGACAGATTGTTCCCTTGTCAAGTTCCCTTGGGGTACTGCTGCCTGTGATAGAAAAAGAAAAGAAAATTATCACAAGAAGAGCCAAAAATTGCTCTCTTTCAGTCTGGTGTTTGCCCTAGAATGTACTTTTTTTTTTCCTCTTGACCACAGAAAAAAACAACAAATTAATCTGTATTCTGGACTCTATGCAAGTAAAAAAAAATGGAATTTTGCATAACAATATATATGGAAGAACGATTCTACATCTTATATTCTGTATTTTACCAGTTTCGACTCTTCCTCGTTTTCCTATAATACTTAATTCTTTCAACTAAGGTAGGAATTAGGATCAGAGTTGGGAATGTGAAGAGAAGGGTACCAAGGAATGATAGATACAGGCACGTTTAGTTTAAGCTCTGTGCCAAGCCAAGAAATCCACTCCAGGTTTTTCCTTCCGCTCGGCCTCTGTATTCCGGCTATGCAATGTGTAGCACGTTTCTCTCTCTCTTCTCTCTCTCGCCTTCTTTCTCCCTCCCTCTCTCATACTGTGTCTCCAGGATTTCTCTCTTCCTATTTCAGGAGGGCTCTCACAGACTCGGGCAGCCTGTGCGAAGCTGAGCTTCCCCTGGATCCCGCATATACACAACACATACTCACACGCACTCACATCAACAAGAACTACCCGCACCGCGCACAGACCCGCTCACTCCAGTCTCTCCCCTCCATCCTCCCTTCAAGCCAAGGCAACGAGCGGTTCCCACCTTCACTCTCCCACAGGCAAAGCCGGCCTCGCAGGGACTCCCGGATTTCTGCTGCTGGGGAGCTCGGATCGCAGTCTCGAACCCCTTATGCCTTTTTTCCCCCTCTCTGTTTTTTTCTTTTGGTTTTTGGGGATAGAGGAGAAAGGCGTTTGCTTTCCCAGACAGCCCTGGTTGGCTTGCGTACCATCTTCCATCTGGCTTATAAAAGTTTGCTGAGAGCTGTGTTAGAGGTCTGGGTTGCTCATCCCCTCCACTGGCAGCGGGGGGTGGGGGTGGGCAAGGGGACAGGGAGGTGGGGGAGGGCGCTGTTAGCTCCGGAGGCATCCCGACGTTTGGGGCAAGGTGAAGACGGAGCCGGACCTGAGATTTATTTACTGAGCTGGATTTGCATGCTACACCATGCCTTCTCGGATCGGGGCTCTGCTTTTCTCTTTCACCGGGCTGCTGCTATCACTTTCAGTCAAGGCGGATGTTAAAGCTCGGAGCTGCAGTGAGGTCAGGCAAGCTTACAGTGCCAAAGGATTCAGCCTGGTCAATATACCCTACCAGGAAATAGCAGGTAAGTGCTGGCGGGGATAGGGGGGCAGAGGAAGGGTGGAAGGGGGCTGGGGACGGCCGGCGCGATCCTGGCTCTGGACCCTGCTCTCCCTTTCTTTTCCCCTGTTGCTGAGTTGAAAGTGTTCACTTTCTGTGGAGCCTTTTTCTCCTGCACTCTCCGAGCCTCAGAAAGGCGGCGGGGGCTGCTCCCGCTAGTTAGTGGGGTCTCCAAGCTGCCTCATTGTGTGCACATGCCTCCGAGTCTCACCCCGCACCCCCTCCCCACCCCCGTCGACTCGACTCTCCCCGCTCTTTCTTCATTGTTGGTCATCTTCAGGCGCGAGCCAGGGAAATACTGCGTGGTGCCAAAAGGAAGGATGTCCGTCACATTTCTCTGGGGGCAGAGGCCAGACCCGAGCGACTGCAGCGCTAGAGAGGGCGCTGAGCTAGTACCTAGGAGTGCGGGTTGCCTTCGCCTGGGCAAACTTATTAGAACTACTGCTGCTGTTGCTGTTGCTTTGCAGGAACCACAGTCTCGGTGGCGCCTTTCCCGGCTCCTTGGTCTCCGCGATGCCTGGGGTTGGGGCGGAGGAAAGATGCCCAAGGTCTACCCTCACTCCTCACACTCTACCTCTACCCCCAATACATACACACCGGTGCTCTTTTTCCATAAGAGAAAGGACCACAGAGGCTCCCGGGACCCTGGTGTAGGAGAGGTAGGGGTGAGGAGTGGCGTATTCGCTGTTCTCTGGGCAGAGTGGAATGTTGTCCACCAGGGACTCCCGGCGCCCAGACCCCCGGGACTGCTGGATGTCTGCAGTTGGGGGCTTCATTTTTTTTTTTTTTGGAGGGTGTTATCTTAATAGAGTATTTGTTTCCGATCTTGGGCGGCATTTTGCCTGAATGTTTCTTTATGCTTCTCCCGATTGAGGTTGGTAGCTCATGGTTAGGAAACACCCCAGACACCCTCAGACCTGGCTGTGCACTCTAACGTGGGCACTCTCAATCTTTCCTTGCTCTCCAACATGTAAGAAAAGAGAGCGAACTTGCTGTTGTGGGCAGCTGCAATTTTTGGGGGGGGGGGGTTGGGGAGAGACGTAGCTTTCAGTCTTCCAGTAGGACTAATACCCCTGCCCCGTAGATTGCTCCTCTGGGAGGATGTCTTTACAGAGATATGTGTAACACATAGGTTCAAACAACTTGATCTGCATGCGTGCGTGTGTTTTCCGGCTCTTAGCTCCAACCAAATCCGTGCATCTCTGGGGCTCAGTGAATGAAACGTGTCCGGGAGAGATAATCCTTTGGCTGGGAACAGAGCAGAGAGGGAGAAAGAGAGGGAAGGGCAGGGGATGCTTGGGGAGGTGCAGTGGTGGCGGGCTGCTCAAATTGGTCAACTCTAGTCCTCGGTGACCTCGAGAGGGAGAAAGAGAAAAGCTTTGATACTTGGCCAATGGCCTCTCCTAGTTTTACACACCAAGAATTGGGCGACCAGGGAAATCAATGTCACTCATTTGAAGAGAGGGAAAAGTCTCCTGTTTTCGTTCTTAGGACTGATTGCTACCTTATTATTATGGTGTTTATAGATTTAGTTATATGCACGTTTCAGCCTTTCACCTAAATGAGCAAATTTATGCCAATTTCAGCACTTCAAAAAGATGCCATTGGTTCATTATACAGAGTAAGCCTTTACCAATTCAAAGCTAGAACTTGTGGTGACTCAGAAGACTGCTTTGTAATCCCTAGTCACTCCTTCACTCTTCCCTAGAACCCCTTAATTTGTTAATCAATGAATGGCTAGCTACATTCCCCAGAGTTCAGCTCCTTAAGTTTCTTAGTTCTACTTCCCTTTGTTTACTGTTATTTCATACTTTTTAATTTATTGATAAGAATCAACTTCTTTTCCCTTTTTAAATCATAGACAATTCAAACTTTTAAGACTTAAAGGGTTTAGATATCTTTTAAGAACTTTTCTCATCTAGTTATACTTTCTCTAACTGTGCTTTTTATACATGTATTTCTGAATGTGAATTGAGAACATGATGTTTTCAAAGAAGAGGATGTTCGAGGATTTAAAAACTGCTTCTGTGTCTTGAAGTGGATAACAAGAAACTGAGGGACTCACAGGAATGCAGTTCATTCCCATCAGAATGCAAATCTACTTAACAGTGGTAGAGACCGGATTAACAGAGTCAATAATTCCCATAGCCATCCTTAACCAAGTGGAATGTTGAAAACTTCCAGTGGTTAATATAAATAGTTTGGTAAATTGTTAACACCAAAGGTTTCTTTTTTAGCTTTTCCATCCCTTTATGATTACTAGCTAATTGGCTTTTGGTTTCTAGAATGTGTAGACTTTTGTTAAACTCTCAAACTTTCTAGTACTGTAAGTGCATTGTTGATTATTTTTTTCTTAAAGCTGCTGTCCTTTCTTTGATGGTAGTGGACATAATCACTTACAGGTCACTGTAGGGTCAGACGAACATTTGATAAGAAAATAAATGCGTGGAGGGTAATTGCATCTTTAAGATAATATGTTTTTCACATGCTGTAGAATCTTTTACAATAATTACTTAGGAAAGATGGCCTGGTATGGACACTGGTTCTTTGTTGCCAGGTCCAGTTTCATAAGGTTTTAATTACTTAGGTTAGACTTCTTTTGGAAGTTGATCTTTTTTTAATCCTCTTTTCTTTTGTCTCATTTGAATGTTAATGGTTTGCTTAGTGGAACCATTTATTATAGCATTGGTTCCCCCAGGCACATTGAATGGAGTCTCTCTCATTTTAAATATTTGACTAACTGCCTCTTTAAAAAAAAATGGAGATAGTTTGTTTGGTAAAATAGCTGAGAAGTAATAAGTCCATTATCCATGGTTATTTCAACATTTATGAAAGTTTCACATAGAATTCACAATTGTAAAATAGTATTGTCTTTTCTTAGGATGTTCTTCAAACTGAACAGATGAGGAATAGTGTTGGGTAATGTAACAAGTTATACTTTCATAGAACCTTTGGCGCAGGGAAGACCTACAGGGATAAATGTAACCTATTCATCTTCATCCAAGATCATAGTTAAATCACCTATGATGAATTAGAATCTATTCCTTTTTAAGGCTTTTTGGCTAGAAATAATTCTATATCCAAAACTAAACCATTCACAATTCATTGATTTCCTAGTCTCATCTTTAGGGAAATTGTTCACTAGTTGATCCCTAACTTCTTGAACCTTCCATATGCTTTTGTCAAAATTTTCTTCAACCTTGTCTCCTTCAATGTATTAAATAATTTCTATATTGGCTGTATTTCCCAACCCATATATCATTTGGGAAGCTCTCATTTGATCTTTCTTTAGTAATGGACCCAGACTGATAAAAAGGGTCTGAAAAGTTGTGATTAATCATTATCACATTATCTTAGCTTTCTTAGTCTGTGTTTTTTTTTCCTTCTCAGTATCATAAATTTTGTCTGTTTATTGTTTTGTATTATTCAATTGTTTGTTTTTCCCCATAACAGTGCCCTGTTGCTGACTCATGGTTACCTAATGTCATCCATTACGACTTACAGTTTGCTTTTTTTTTTATCATTGTATGTCCCATGGATCTAGCATACTTTCCTAAGCAGTTAAGCATCTAATAAATATTTGTTGTTACCTTGTATTTGTCTACTATGCCATTCCTTACCAGTTGTTTTATCTTGCACTTGAAGTTGTTGGATTGCATTCTACTTCTTTCCGACTACTTCTCTAATTATCAAGATGACTCTGAATTCTGAGCTTATCTTCTAAGGTACAAGCCACAGACTGACTCCAAATGCTTCAGCCAGTTGTGCATTTTCCTCATACTTATGTGATCTAGATGTGTGCCATGAAGAAGAGAATCAAAAGTCTAGACTAGATAAAGCTAAGTAGTGTGCATCTGTTGCTTTTCTTCAATTTACTGGCTCTTTCCATTTGTCGAAGGGTTTTGGATTAGTATGATATAATTTATTCTTTAGGAACTGATCTAGAAAGTTGAGAGGGGAGGGCTCACCTCTTGGAGATGCATGAAATGGATAAATTCTCCATTACTTCTTTGCTCTCAAACTTTATTTTGTATGTTGTTAATTCCTAGCTAAGCCCTTATTTCCTCTATTACCCCTCCCCTTTCTTTTAAAATTCAACTTTTAAAAGCATTAATCTCTCATGGTTTGTGGGATCGGATGTCACTAACTTTTCCCCTTCAGAATATAATAAAGGGATCTTACTGTGCATTTCTTTTACATTCTTATATCTACACAGATATATAGATCTATCTATATATCTATGGCTATATCTTTACATTTCTTTTTAGGCTGTTTCCAAGTGGCATCTTATTTCATGCTTTGGCTTTGATGACATTTGTACAACACATGTTTACTATTTCCTGGGTATACTTCCCTGGCAACTTGTCCTATGTTATATTTTCTTGAATGATACACTTATTTCACAGCTTTTATTTAACATGGAGACTCTTTAAAGGTAACTATGTCCGTGGAAGATCTCATTTTAAGGTAAACTGAGACAGAGAGACAGTAATTTCTTGAATAAATATGTATGTATATGTGTGTATACATTTATTTACTCAAGAAATAATGAAATATATGTTGGACCCCATATGGGGTCATGACTCAGTTTAAGAATTGCTGAAGAGGCCACAAGCAGAAAAAAGTTTAAGAAGCCCTTGTCTAGAACATAAAGTTTTAATAACATAATTTACTTTTCAGTTAAACTCAGAGAATTACTATTTACAAGGTTGACATTTTTTTCTCTGTCCTTAATACACATCTTATCTCTGTAGTGTTCTAGAAGCTCATCAAGGGTATTATTAGCTGTAATTTTGAATTTCTTTGTCAATTTAACTGAAATTTCAAACTAGCTTTGTCCTGGTTAATTTTTTTTTAAACTTTCAGACCTACATTTTGCCTTCAGATAGCCTCATTCCATTCTCAGTTAATACAATTTATAGTGATTTGCGTGTTAACTGAAATAGACATTATCCCTTAGGATGA